CCCCAAAACCCCAAAACCCCAAAACCCCATAAGGTAAACATTCGAAGATATTTAGCAAGAATTTGGGTTAATTTTGATGAAAAATTAGAGGAAGAATTCAAGGATTTTTCTTATTTATCAAAATTTTTAAAGTTTAATAGTAATCGAAAACATTCTAAGCAAGTATTTTAGTGAAATGAAAAGTGGTCAAATAACAAATCTCAGTTAAGAAACATCTATGGATTTGAACATACTTAGTTAAGCTGAAACCTCACCTTCTCTAAAAGCAAAAAAGAACAAGCATTTTCCATGTGATAAATGTGGGAAGATTCTAACGAGTCCCAAGAATTACAAGAGACACATCATAAAAAGACATTATAACATCCACCGATATTCATGTCCCATTTGTGAACGCCCATTCGCAAAAAAAGGCAATTTAAATGTGCATCTAAGAGTTCATAGTGGTGAGACCCCATATACTTGTGGAACATGCGGTAAATTCTTTAAAAACAAAGCTAACATGAGAGATCACCTTAAAAGGCATGAATAGTAAAGGTATTATCTCATCAAATTTATATCGTATATAGATCATACTAATGCACCCACTGTAGTAATAATTATTATCGTAAGTACTAGCTGATTAATCATGCTGCTAAAAAGCATGGAATAGAAATAGAAAGAACCACTAGAGGTAAATCAAAAATAAGCACAAGCATTAATGCGATTCCAATCACTGAGGACTGCGATGAGACATATAAATTTATGTTCAATTTTCAGCCTTATGTCCTGAATAAAAAATAGCAATAATAAATGTCAACTAAACCATTAAAATTAGAGTTAAACCAAGCTTTAAAGCATTAATAAAAATCGGATTTACAATCATCAAAGTAAGATATTCAAAATGATAGCTCATTCGCCTCTAGTACTGATGCTTTAATAACTAATGATCAAAAAAATGAAGATCAAGAGATGATCCTTGACCATCAAGATGACAAAGTATTATGCGAATTTTGGTAACTAAAGTAAATTTGTTTGGATTACAAATTTAATCTAAAAAATGAAGAAAAAGTACTATATCCATTTTGTAGTACCAAAAAAATATGCGGTATTAAACCAGACTATAAAAAGATTCAGTCTCAACAAAAAAATAAATGATTATAATAAGAGAGATTCAGCATATTGGAATGAGCCTTTAATAATCCCGTAATATAGCACTTTAATTATTAATTTATCGATATAACAGTTAAAGTAAAATATTTTATTAGTTGCAAGTTTACCATACTTACCATTAATTCTAACTTGTGGGGTTTTGGGGTTTTGGGGTTTTGGGG